AGCCCAGACACAGACAAAGAACTGGGGGAGCAGGAACTTAATACCACAAATAGCAGCCCTGCCTCAAATTGAGGAAACGGAACTTTCTTAGGGGTCCGAGGTACGCCCTCGCTGCCCTCCGGGGCTCAGTTCTGGGGTGCCTCTTCCCTAACCGGGGCACAGGGAGGACACGAGCTATCGGATCTCCAGGCGGACGAACGTACGTGGGCTGGGAGAACAGAGCAAGCCCGCGAAGGTGGCGAGGCCGGAGGACGAGCACCTGGGAAGAGCCCAGAGTGCCTCTGGGGAGACGGAGGTCTGAGCATCTGGCATTCAGCAAGCCAGAGGCCAGGCCAGAACCGCAAGCCAGGGCAGCCGCCCTTTGGGCTTGAGCAAGTGGACGCTGGGGCCGGGTGCACCAGCCAAGGAGGCCCTGACCCTCCAGCGGGAGGAGCAGGCTCACGGTCAAAAGGCCGAGTTGCGGTCAGCCTAGCTGTGCACTGGCTTTGAGCGTTTCCGGGGGTTGGAAGGAGGGGTCACGCACCCGTGCTTACGAATCTGGCCCCACTAGAGAGCTCCTCCTGAAATTACTGACAGTGGTATGAAACGAACCTCGCTGAATAAAATTAGGGGTAGGGTGGTATGCAGTGAGACCAGAGGTCCTCCCTACGCCCTGAGGAAGGGGGTTTCTGGACATCCCAGCAGACACCCTAGTGGCCTGGGAAGGACGGAGCTTCCAATAACATAGGAACGTACAGCCTCAAGTTTGGGACGCAGAAAATTCCGTGCCGTTCCCACGCAGTCACCGGGCTGAATGGAATCTGGCTTTCAGGAGGGGGGGTCGCCTAATGACGATGCCCCAGCAACCACATCAGCTCACCCAGAAGCATCACTACCTTCGTCTGGGTCAGAGTATGTGCTGACCTCTGCATCTCGCAGATGACGAAGCTGAGGCCCGGCAAGCTGCCTCGGGCCCAAGGTCTCAGGCCCGGTGTTTCTGTCTGGCTCCTCGCACAGGCTCCCTGAGGCCAGGCCTGCCCTCCTTGAAGTCACTACCTAGGCTCTCTGCAACCAGCCTCCCGGCGTTTAGGGGCTTGGGAATCGGCGTCCTCAAGTTTCCCAGGGCCCCGGTGGGAGGGCACAGTTCATGAGCCGCCCACCCAGGCCGGGAGCCAGGCCCCCAGGAAGGCCGACGCAGACAGACAACGGCGGGGCCCGAGGGACTTACGTGTCTGCGGAGCGACGGTAGTTCTTGGGGCACTCGAAGGCCAGGCAGCGGAAGCCACCCTGGATGTTGAAGCAGGTCTCGTTGATGGAGCAGTTGTGGATGCCGGTCACACACTCATCGATGTCTGTGAGAGACCCCAAGGCAGCCCGGTGAAGGCTGAGGCCGCCCGAGCCGACCCCATCTCCAGATGGTGGCGCTGGGGCCTCCCACCAGGCAGGACTGAGGGGGGAGATGGGGCCGCCCTTGCCCTCCCCTGGCTGCTCCCCTGCTCCCCTCCCTCCCCTGCTCTCTGTGGCAGTGCCCTTGCCAGCTTTCTTACTTATAGGATGATCGGTATTTATGGAGGTTTTACTCATCGTTCACAGTTCTGGGATGAGCTTTGGAGAGTTCCGTTCTCCCGACAGCTCACTGGGCAAGAACTGTTATTATCCTCAGTGTAGGCAGGAGCTCACACGGGCTCCGGGGCTCACCCAAGGCCGCACATTTTGCGCGCGGCAGAGTTGAGCTTTGAACCCACGCGGGCCAGAGCCAAGGTTCTAAGCAGCCAGCACCTGTCCGAGGCTCCTGAGGGTCAGTACCGTCACCTCACGGGGGACTCGTGACATGCCAGAAGGAAATGGCAGAAGCTAATGGCTGCATGTGACGGATGAGGACACCAAGGCTTCAAGGAGTTCTACGTTGTGCCCAGAGCCCGGGGTCGGTGAGGCCTGGGGCACTGTCCTGAGAGGTCCCCGGACACGGGGAGCTGTCCTCTTTCCCACAGGTCTCAGGAGCAGCAGAATGGTGGGGTCTGGCGAGCCTGAGAGGCGTCTGTGAGAGGTGCCAAACGCCTGATCTCGGCGGTAAAAACAACACTCCTAATCTCAAAGGCCGAGGCTCAGGAATGTGTTTTGCTGTGTCTGGCAGGACCCCAGGTTGCGGCAAGGGAGGCCGGCCAGGAGCAAGAAAGTCATCTGCTCCGCCAGAGAGGCGAAAACAAAGTGACTTCCACCCAGAGCTGCGGACGCGCTGAGTGGGTGCCTCCCAGGAAAGGCCACCGCTCCTGCCCGCCTTTGATCAAAGTCCTTCCTCACGACCAGAAATCACGTGTGCAGAACCCGGGGCCTCTGAGCCTCTCGGTCGACAGTCCTGTGTGGGGGCTCATGAGGAAGGGGCCGGACAGACCCGACCTCTGTGGCTCAGCTTCTTGGGGCCGTCCCTCGATCCACTCCGGGATTGTTCGTTCACAAATATCTACCCGATACCCTCTCTTGGTCACCAAATGGCTCGGTTACAGGAGTCACGGTGACTCCTAGGGTGTTCTTAGATATGGGAGCTGAGTGCAGATGGGGGCCATCGGCCCCCCTCATTTAGTCCATGCGGGAGCTGACCCCTGGTCCCAGCGGGACCCTCATGAATACAGAGACCTCGGGGCTGTCCCACTGCGGACCACGCCCACCCTCAGCAGGGCAGTCATCGGCACCTTGGGACAGAGGCCTCCCCCACCTGCTCACTGCTCTGCCCGTAACTCTCGGCAGGGCCTGGCTTACGTCAAGGGCCTGTCGAATCAGTGGATGAAAGGCTGACCGAGTAGCCACCCTGCTGTGGGATGGGGTCCCACTTCCTAAAGGCTGTCAGCCCCTGTTCTGGCCCCCTCGGAGCTGCTGAGGGCAGGGTGGGAGGGTCAAAACCCCCCGAAGACAGGCATGCCAGGAGTGAGAGACCAGGGTGCGTGTGGACCCCAAGACACTCCGTGGATGCAGAGGCCCCCCCTCCCCTTCCCAGATGCACCCCCCCAGTGGGTCAGGGAGGCTGCCTGGCCTCAGCTCCCCGGCACCACAGAGCCCCAGGCCGTCCCCAGCGCTCACCTTGGCAGTTGCGGCCGTTGGGGGCCAGCCTGTATCCGGACGGAGGGCAGGTGCACTGGAAGCTTCCAGGGATGTTGATGCAGCGATAGGAGCAGATGTGGCCCCCGGTGGGCAGGGCGCACTCGTCAATGTCTGTGACGGCAAAGCCCACCCTCAGCATCCCGTGGCCGAGCTCCATTCCCAACAGTGGGCCAGGAAGGGGCCTGGGAGGACGGCCACATGGGGCCATCTGGACACAGGAAGCCGCAAAGTACTGGGGTGGGGCTCAGGAGCCTTTACATCAGAGGGGAACGTGAGGCCCAGAGAGGGGAAGAGCTTAGCCCAGCGTCACACAGCAAGTCCACGGTGCAAAGTACGTACACGTGGAGGAAGGAGGCAGTACGGGGGCCAAGTGGAGGGGGAAAGGCCAAGGGCTTCAGAACAGTACGTAGCACAGATGGCCTGCGGGCTGCAGGCACACCCTGACGCTAACGGTTATCCACGTGCTAATAGGAAAACACGCCTTCCGTGGAAACGGTAGGAATCCCAACAGCACCTTTCAGCACCTACGGTGCGCCAGGCACTGTACTAAGCGCTTCTGGGTCGTCTTCAACCCTCTGACAGCCCGGTGGGGCTGGGGTCGGCCCTCAGGCTGCAGGTGATGGATGGTCCCCCACCAGGGAGAGGCAGAGCTTCGAATCGGGCATGCGGGGGGGCCCCCTGAGGCCCCTCCTCGCCCCAGGGTCGCACACCGCCAAGCCCTGGCACCTGCGGTCCCCGCCACGTGTGGTCCAAGGCCCCCACACGACATGGCGCTCACCAGCTACGCATTTCGGAAAGAAAAATCCGGGGAGTGGGTGTGCTGCTTTCTAAACCTCACTCTCGAGGACTCATTTGTATCCAAACAAGCCTCAGCTGCAGGGAGAAAAAACCTACACCGGCCGCCAGCCTGCAAGGGCGTTCGGGAGAAAGGGGCGGGGGTGCTCTCCCCTCAGCCGGGCGGGGCGCCCCCCTCACCTTCGCAGGTGACCCCGTCCACATCGCTGAGCTGGTGGCCTCGCCGACAGTAACACTGGTAGGAGCCGTACACGTTGGCGCATTCCTGGCTGCAGGGACTGCTGTTACACTCGTTCACGTCTGAAAGAGAGGGTCCCCGGAGGTCACCCCGCTTGGAGCCACCCCGCACACCCCTGGTCCCCCTCAAGGGAACACATACGGAGGGCCCGAAGTCCCGCCGTCTGCCGCCTGGGGTTGCCCCGAGGGACAGAGATTCCCTCCGGAATCTCTCATCAGGACGACATAAAGCCTCCGGTCTCGGCTCCGTCCAGTGGGTCCCGCCTCAGGCTCCTAGGGTCAGTTCTAGTCCTCAGCTGGAGACGTGATCACAGCCCTCCCCAGTTCACCTCCAAGACGATGCCCTCTGCAGAGACGGAGGCCCGAGCGAACCGTTGATGTGCCCACATCCCGGATACCCCAGTGCGTAAAGCTCACCACCAGCCCACTCAGCGACTCTGAGCTCCCGCTCGTCTGTTCCCTTCGCTGAGAGCAGGGATCAGCGCAATTCTGGCCCACCACTTGCTTTTGTAAAGGAAGTTCTATTGGCCCACAGCCACGCTCACTCATTTACCCTGGCGTATGGCCGCCTTTGCCCTGCAAAGAAGTGGGTACCCGCAACACAGATTGTGGCGGGCAGAGCCTAAAATATTTACTATGCGGCTTTTAGGAAAAGATTTGTGCCAACGTCTGGCCTAGAAGTCCCTTCTCACATTTATTTACTGCTAATTCCTAGCAGGGCAGACGGGGTGAGCAGCTAAGAATGTCCATTAGCCTCTCGCCCCGTGTTTCGTCCCTGCAGCACCCCCAACACCCTGCCTGGCCGTCCCTGCTGTCCAGTGTGGTTTCTCATCAAATCCTAGAGACACTCCTCGAAGGCAGGAACCACGTTCTTGCTACGCACCTTATCGGGGTTGCTTTACAAATGCGTAGCGGAAGGATAGGGCAAAGCTGGCCATGCCCCGGTTTTGTGTCCCCAATGTTGCTACTCACGTAGACGTGACTACCTCCTTTCCAGTCACTGGGGACTGATGAAGAACAGCGTAAGCCATGAATGCTAACAGCAGTGACACCCACGGTCCCCATAGCTGGCACTTGGTCTCACACAGGACACTGGGATATGCTCTCCACGTGCATCATCCTCACGGCCCCCAGTAAGGTGGGTCCTGCTCCCCCCACTTTTGCAGATGAGGACAATGGGGCCCAGAAGTGCCGAGTTACTTCTTCAAGGCCATAACATGGTCAAGCTGGGATTTGAACCCAAGCTCGAGGGACCCCTGTGCATCAATCTTTCTTTCCTTGCCAAAACACGTGCATTGAGTCTGGTTCCTGGGGACAGATCCTAGAATCTTGGGGGGACCCGAGGGCCCAGGATCCCGTCACACCGTCCACCCTCCAGCGGGAGACCTGTGCGTACTGGGTGCGTCTGGGCATATGTGACTCTTGTGATCGTCCTGCCGAGCGTCCAGACGCTGTACCCAGGCGCCGCGCTGCACAGAACAGGGCTTGCCGGGCGACGGGAGGGGAGCGCCGAGGGCTGTAAGAGCTCTGGACTTTGCTGATGTCAGAACCTAGTCCTCAGAGAAGATGTGACGTCTGCTGAGCGCCTACGGTGTGCCAGGCCCTGTGCTGAACACACTTCACGCCATCTCGGTCCAGCCCCAGAGGAGGTGGATGTTATCTGAGAACCGACAGGCTCAGCACTAACAACTCCCTCCAGCCTCCACCCGGCAGACTAAGGGTCCTGAGCACACCTTAGCATGGCTTCTACCGGCCCAAGACGGGGTGCCCAGGATGATGATCCCAGACCCTTAAAGTGCCTACCTGAGAAAGCTCAGAGCAGCCCAAAGAAGATACTCGGTCCTGACCTCCCTTTTTCTTAGAAGTGTTGACTTTAGCAAACTTGCAAATGTCAATCCTTGCTCTGTCCCTTTGAGATGTACCCCCTACAACCCAGGACCTGCAAACCACGCCTTTGAAGTGCGATCACTGGGAAGGGCAGGTCCCCGCCCCCCACCTCCGCCCCTGCCCTCCCAGTCTCTGTGGGAGGGCAGGAGCCAGTTAGCAGGTGCAGCCAGCCTAAACATGCTGATCCCCCACTTAACGTCCTGCAGCACTTGTCTTTAGCACACCCCAGCATTTAAAAAGCCTTCTGCCCTTTGGGGCACTTGGGTGGCTCAGTCAGTTAAGCGTCCAGCGTCGGCTCAGGTCACGATCTCACGGTTTGTGAGATCGAGCCCCACATCGGGCTCTGTCCTGACAGCTCGGAGCCTGGAGCCTGCTTTGGATTCTGTGTGTGTGTGTCTCTCTCTCTCTCTCTCTCTCTCTGCCCCTTCCCCCCCGCTCACACTCTGTGTCTCTCTCTCTCAAAAATAAATAAAACATTTTTAAAAAATTTTTAATAAAGAAAAATTTAAAAAGCCTCCTGCCTTCTGCTTTTCCCAAACTGAGATCATTTTACACCCAAGCCCCTCTCCGCGGATGCAACAGTCTGGGTAAACTCTGTCTTACCCGTTTCCTCGAAAATCTGACCTACCAAGCCCTGTCTCCTGGTAGGACACTGAGGCAGGCGAGGCCAGCCACTCCCGGAGGTCACGTGAACACAGGGTGGGTGGGACGCCTCCCCATCCCGCACTCTTAGCCACGTCCCTTGTTCCTAAACCGGCTTATCCGTTCCCCACGTGCGTGGCCCTGGGCAGATGCCACTGGGCGCTCCGGGACCCAGGAGGCCCAGGCATCTCTGACACGTCACCTGTCACAGGCATTTCCCCCACTGATGCCTCACTTAATCTGCGCTTGGGAAACAAACTCGAGTCTGTCCCAATGGACGGCGTCTGCGGGCGGAGCTGTGGCTTCTCCAAGAGAAGGGAGTCGATCAGCCTGCCCGGCACCCAGGCCGCCTCACCTTCACACGAGCGGCCGTCGGCAGAGAGCCGGAAGCCCACGGAGCAGCTGCAGTAGTAGGAGCCCGGCGTGTTCTCGCACTTGTGGCCGCACAGGCGCCCGGGATAGCGCCGACACTCGTTGATGTCTGAAACGGAGCAGGTGGGCCCCCTCAGTGCCACCCAAGCCTCTGCTGGCCACCCCACCTCCCGCAGCCTCTCTGCTCAGATGAGAGGCGCAAAGTGACTCGTCCCACGAGTCAAACCCACGGCACGAGTGGGCGAGGGAGCCAGGGCCACGCCCACCCGTCTGCTCACGGGGCCAGTCACGTGTCCCTTCTGTGGCGCACACCTGAGGACGTGCCCACCCATCAGTTCCCCACCCCAGAGCCCTGAACGAGGGTCCACTGGGGTCTGACAAGGGGCCAGCCTCCCCCGAGCACCCTGGTCTGCGGATGGCAGGCACTCGGCCGGCGGGGTCTGTCCCCGTTCCCGGCGCTGAGGCCACCGTGCCTCAGGCACGCAGCCCTGCAGCCCTGCACGAGGGCAGCGACTCTGGGAGAAAATCACGAATGCTCTCGGGCATTTGCAGAGTGGGCTGGGGTCTCATAGACCCTTGGAGGTCTTGAGTCAAGCAGAACACCTGTTCTGCGGGCGGGTGACACGCGGGAGTGCAGCACCAGGGCTGGGACCGGACGGGGGTCTCTTGACTCAGGGTCTCTTCTCGGGGACTGCTGCACTAGGGCTCTCCGAGGTGAGGCGTAGACTGTGGCCACGCCAGGGTGCCACCTGGCCGGGCCCCCCCCAGGCCTTCAGGGATACCCACGTACCCACGCACGTCCTGCTGATGCCGTCGAAATAGTATCCGGCTTTGCACTCACAGCGGAAACTTCCAGGCGAGTTGACACACAGGTGCCCCGGCCCACAGGGCTCAGAGGGCGCCGCGCACTCATCCACATCTTGCAAAAGAGAAGGACACGTTGAAAAACGTTAAGCGGGGGCTTTTCCCTGAGATGGTCAGAAAGGAAGCCGGGAGAGCAGCAAACTAAACTGTACGTTGACAAAGCAGTATCATTGGCTCTTCAACACGATGTCCCAGAGCACCTGCTATGTGCTGGGCCCCATGCTGGGGACACAGCGGACCCAGATGCAGCCCCTACCCTCAGGGCCTCCTGCTCTGGCCAGCCAGCGATGACCCTAGCTGAGGCGGAAAGGGCCCAGTGACCCGGGGAGACGTTAAGGAAGTATTCTGGGAGTTGTAGAGAGCTTCTCTCTGGCTGGCAGGGGTCTGGATCCAAAGGAACGCAGCAGCGGGTAGGCAGAGGGAATAACGTAAGGGCAAAATACTACACAGAGAGGACAGGGCAGGGTTTCTTTAGGGAGCTGCAAGGCCTAGTTCATCTGAATTATAAAGCTCGTGAAGGTGGGGCCACCTCAGGAGGACTAGGCTGTAAGCAGGGGCATCTGTCCTTGTCTGTCACCAACGGGGGCTGTGAGCAGGGAGGAATGAGAGCGCTTCCAGGTCGAGAGACCCTGGACAGACTGAAAGGGGTAAAACTGCGCACAGTGGTAGGCTGGCAGGCTACTGCCATGGTCCAGGCAATAGATGACGAAGGTCTAAGCTTGGAAATGAGCAACGGGATGGATGGACGGGTTCACTTGGGGGATCTCCTCCTCCCCTTCCAGAGAAGGGAGGGGGGCGCCAGGCGCAGACAGAAAAGTTGATTTCAGATTGGTTCTCTTTTCCGATACCAACCAATACAGCGGGTTCCCTCCTCGTTGAGATGGTAGCCACGGCCACAATTGGGCACGTTCTTCTGACATGTGTAGGAGCCCTCCGTGTTGATGCATGTCTGCCCAACAGGGCATGGGGCACTGATACTTAAACATTCATTGATATCTGCAGCAGGAAAGACGGAGACGGCGAGGTTAAATGTGGAGGGCTTCTCAAAACCCAACAGCTAGATCTCCGAAACCCGCCCCCCCCCCCCAACTTCCCTCCTTATTGCAAAACCACAAACAGAAGTACTACGATGCCCTCACCCTGGACCACGCGGCAGGCTTCCAGCCGGCTCCCGGGTTTTGCCAACACATGCCACCTGAAATACCACCTCCGTGGCATCTCCCTGCCCCTAAAGCTTCAAGCCTCCCATCCTTCCCTGCACCGAATCTGAAGCCGCGTGCCTGGCTCCCAGGTCTGCCCACGGTCACGTGCCTATGTCCCTTCTGAATCCTACAGGACTCGCAGTCCCCACCACGGGGCTGGCAATTCAGGGGCCATCTCGTGTTCACTCGCTCCACACGGGGTGTGGGGCTAAGTGCCCTTGGCGCCGAAACTCTTGCCCCTGCGAGGCTCTGGGCTCCTCCGATGATGGGCCCGGCCCGCCTGGCCTCGGCCTCACTCTGGCCAGCGGTCCCCGCGACCAGGCTTGAGCCCTTACAACACACTGATGGCTCCTGGACAGGCCGCTTGGGTCCCACCTCTGTGCCTTTATTCACACAGCCCCTGGCTGGGAAGTCACCTCCCCTGTCTGCCTGGGAAACACTTTCACAGCTTGCGTGTCACCTCCTGGAGGCCCCTTCCTGTCCGGCCCCCATCTGGGCTCCTCAGGCCCGAGCTGACTTGTGCCCAGCAGGGAGGGGCTGCTGGCTCCAAGTTCACCGCACTGTGGTCCCCCTCCTTGACTGCACGTGCCTGCATGGGGCCTTCACCTCTGCTGGACACACGCCTGGCGAGTGCGAACCAGTGATTGGACAAGGAGGACCCTTCATTCCCCCAGCTCGAATTTGGTGTAAAACCACAGAGGCTACACTTCTTACTCGGGGGAGACGTCTACAGGCACCTAGGTTTTCAAGAATCCCCTTGTTCAGACACTTGCAAAGCACCCAGGGGACAGAGAGAAGGGAGTTATGGTAGAAGGCCCCTGAGCCAAAGTCAAAAAGAGGGATCAGCTGTCGTTCTCCCCTCCCGGCCAAGCCCCTCGCTCCTTGAACCGTCAGGGGCCAGGACAGTCAGGGGTAGGACCCGGGGCCGCCCCTGGAGTCAGCCTTCACACAGCAGCGCAGCACTTAACAGTTTACAGAAGCTAGCCGGCTCTAGAAGCAGGGTGTCCTGCCTCCCAGCCCGAACATCAGCGTTGACAGGCTACAGTCCGCCAGTCAAATCCAGCTCACTGCCTGTTTTTGTCAATAAAGCTTTATTGGAACACCCGAGCTGCAACATAGACCCTAGAGCACATGAACCTGGTACTTACTAGGCAGCCCTTTACAGAAAGAAATTTGTGCCCTGCCCCGTATCAAGAACAAATGCAACGTCTAGCAACGACATCGCTGCCTCCCCCGGAGGTTTTGTGCTCACCAAGCAGATCTACAGTTCCCAAACTGTGTTCCGTGGAACATGAGTACCCCTTGAGATATGGTGTGCTCGCCGGGCAGGGGAGTCCCCCCACCTGTGAGCACCACAAGGTAAGGAAGGACCAGGCAATCAATGCATGAATGGGACACCAGGAAAAATAAAGAACAAATAAATAGAAAAGGTCCAAGCCGTTTGGGAACACGTCATACGACCTCTGTCTCTTACGGGCTCACACGGGAAAAGCCCGGATGATCCCGGCTGAAAAGCACCTCGCTAACTTTAACCCAATGACGACGGGACCCTTGACTGCCCCGATGGAACACCTCGGAACACCCCAAGATGCAGTGCGCGGGAAGCCCTGCTCTGGCCCATTCCGTCGTCCTCACTGAAGCTGAAAGGTAGACGGTAAGAACCCCGACAGGGAATCAGAGGAAGCAGGAAAAAGAAAACCAACAAAGATAGGATCGTCTCGGGGCGCCTGGGGGGGCTCCGTTGGCAAAGCGTCCACTCTTGATTTCAGTTCAGGTCATGATCTCACGGGTTGTGGGATCGAGCCCCACAGTGGGCTCTGTGCTAACAGTGTGGCGTCGACTTGGGATTCTCTCTCTCTCTGCCCCCCCC